TTCTTCAACAGTTACCTTGACATTTATTTATAACATTTATACTTATCTCTCAAGTCAAAAATTAAATTATCCATAACCTGTCCTATAAAACATGCCTTCTGTATACTTTTTACATTCACCTTCCCCTGCACCCTACCATCCAGGCTTTATCTAAAATATGTGAAATTTTCGTTCCAAATTGTTGGGAATCCTTCCTTAACAACTGTATCAAGCATCATAGTGAGCTACACACACACACAAAAAGATAGAAAAAATGCCAGCAAATGGATTTAACTTTTAGACTTTTCTTTAAAAAGATGATGAGAATTAGTAGCAGTAGTATTTCTACCTGATACCTACAGAGTCCATGGCATATAGCGGTTGGATTAAATCTGAGCATAATACTTATTAAGAGTCTGACTGGCCACGCAGCTTCAAGCACTGAGCAAAGGTTCATCCAGGCTTTATCTAAAATATGTGAAATTTTAGTTCCAAATTGTTGGGAATCCTTCCTTAACAATTCTATCAAGCATCATAGTGAGCTATGCAAAAAAAAAAAAAAAAAAAAGATAGAAAAAAATGCCACAAAATGGATTTAACTTTTAGACTTTTCTTTAAAAAGATGATGAGAATTAGTAGCAGTAGTATTTATACCTGATACCTACAGAGTCCACGGCATATAGCGGTTGGATTAAATCTGAGCATAATACTTATTAAGAGTCTGACTGGCCACGCAGCTTCAAGCACTGAGCGAAGGTGAAGCGCGTGGGTGTGAAGTTGGCATCATTCCTCGAAGCTTTAGTCCTCCCTTATGTTTGTCTTAAAAAGCAAGGGTTTCCTGCATCCCGCCGTCACCCGGGAATGAGACGGGCGCGTCGGGGCTGCACGGGGCGAGCCGGACGCTGTCGCCTCGGGTTTGCAATGATGAAGCCGAGCCTCCTGCTTCCAGCCACGTCCCCCTGACCACGAACCGCCCGGCACAGGTGGGCGTCTGGAGCCCCCAAGCCCCTGGTGCCAAAGGGTGGGTCCCACCGGAAGGTCAGGATTCCTTTCATCGGTCGGAAGAGAACAGCAACCCCCTATACGCACCCCCTCATGTCACTGTTGCACCCCGGAAAAGCTTAAGGCTGTTTTTAATATCGCTCCTGAGTCTGTCTTTGCCTTTTAAACAACCATTCCTTTCCTGTGAAATGGGACAGGATCGGGAGAGAGGACGACAGCGGGACCGAGCCTGTGCCCCGGACCGGCTGCGTCTGTGTTTCCATGGAAACGTTGGGGAGCTCCCAGTGGCCGCGGTGTCAAGTCAACGGCTGAGACCTGCTTCCCTCGAGCCGGACGCTGTCGCCTCGGGTTTGCAATGATTGAAGCCGAGCCTCCTGCTTCCAGCCGCATCCCCCTGACCACGAACCGCCCGGCGCAGGTGGACGTCAGGAGCCCCAGAGCCCCTGGTGCCAAAGGGTGGGGTCCCACCGGAAGGTCAGGATTCCTTTCATCCGTCGGAAGAGAACAGCAACCCCCTATACGCACCCCCTCATGTCACTGTTGCACCCCGGAAAAGCTTAGGCTGTTATTAATATCGCGCCTGAGTCTGTCTTTGCCTTTTAAACAACCATTCCTTTCCTGTAAAATGGGACACGATCCGGAGAGAGGACGACAGCGGGACGGAGCCTGTGCCCCCGGACGGGCCGCGTCTGTGTTTCCGTGGAAACGTCCGGGAGCTCCCAGTGGCCGCGGTGTCAACGGCTGAGACCTGCTCCCTCGCTGCGCAGCAGCCCGAGCACGTGCCGCCTGATGTAAACAAAGCGGCTGTTGATGAAGTTTTCCGGAATTTACTACCCCGGGTGTGTTTTAAAATAAAGAACGTTTCTAGCCGGAAAAAAAAAAAAGAGTCCCTGACTAAACATAGGAAGTAATAGCTGTATTTTTGTTCTAATGATTTTGTGCTGGAAAAAAATAAGTATATAACCACACTAAGTGAGGAAGCCAGGACTTCCAGAAATAAACCATTCCGTCCTTGGTTTGGATACAAAAAAATCTGTTAGAAAAATCACAAAATTTCATATATGACATTCGTCAAAATATAAAACTATAATTATGGTTGCAATTATAACACAGTATTACAATTAAAATAAAACGCCTATAGGAAAAGCTAAAAAGTATACTTTTCATTGTTAATTTCCTCAGAACTTTTATTTAAAGAGAGCTAACGGACAGGGCACCTCCCCACCCTCAAACTTATTTTTAAATTATTTTTAAATTAACTCAATTTGGGCAGGTTCCAAAAAAAAGATTCTCAACTCACAATGTGCTTCAAATCACTATGTTGTATACCTAAAACTAATACAATGATATATGTCAATTATATTTCAATTTAAAAAAGAACTTAAGTTAAATAAGGATGATATATAAAAACCTAAATATCAGGTAACTGATTAAAATATGTAATAGATACTAAATATACATTAATAAATAAAATGAATACATTTATAATTAGCCCTACAATCATATCTTTAGGGATGAGATTTGATTTATTCAAAATTATGGGCTCTAATAAGCTGTGTGATTTAAGGCAAGATAATTAAGCTCTCAAGCCATGTCTGTAAATTGAGGTTGTTCTGAATAATTTAATTTCTAATGTCTCTTTCCACTTAGAGCCTCTTAATTCACAGTGATTTAACAGACAATTGAGTATTTTTTAAAATATAAATCAGAGTTTCTCAACTTTGACATTGACATTTTGGACCAGATAATTCCTTGTTGGGCGTGGGACTGCCCATTGTAGGATGTTTAGCAGCATCCCTGGCCACTACCCCTTGGTTGAAAACCATCTACACTAATAAAAGAGAAAAATGGTAATTGGCGTACGACGCTACCCTTTTCATTGGCTAATCAGGGCTATATGCAAATTAACTGCCAACTAAGATCGGCAGTTAACTGCCAACAAGATGGCGGTTAATTTGCATATGTAGGCACA